TGAAACCCAGACTGAAGCCACTGGTTTGGTCTGAAACCACGTTTACCAATGCAAAGAGCATCATGTTCTGACACCGCCCTTCGCTGCATATAGGCCAGAGCAAAACCTGTGTGTCTTTTTCGGAATACCATGATCTCTGCCAGCAGACTTCTGGTCATCAAAATTTCCAAAGATGATAAAACTGTTTTGTTTTTTTCCCACAATAATTCGTAATTGGGTTTGGAGCATTAACTCTTCTGACAGATGAAAGATCACAAGTCTAATGCTCTCAGATGAGACTCAGTAACTTAGATAAAACCTGTTAGTTCCACTCATTCATGAAAATACTTTTTTCTTTTGTTTTGTTTTGGTCCCTGCTACACAAAAAAAGATGTGGACAAGCTGGAAAGGGTCCAGAGAAGGGCCATGAAGATGATCAGAGGACTGGAAGACCTGCCATATGAAGAAAGGCTGAGAAAACTGGGTTTGTTCAGCCTTGAGAAGAGAAGGCTTAGGGGAGACCTTATTACCATGTACCAGTACATACAGGTGGCTACCGAGAAGATGGAGGCTCCCTTTTTACGAGGAGTCACATGGAAAAGACGAGGGGTAATGGATACAAGTCGCTCCTGGGGAGATTCCGATTGGACTCTAGAAGAAACTTTTTCACCATGAGGACAGTTAGACATTGGAATAATCTCCCAAGGGAAGTGGTGGATTCCCCTACATTGGACAGTTTTAAGACTCAGCTTGACAAGGCCATGTCATTTAAACTATATTTTTACCTTGAAGGTTGGGCTAGATGATCCTTGAGGTCCCTTCCAACCTGGTATTCTGTGATTCTATGATATTTCCACAGATCATAAATTATACTTTAATTGTATGTTGCAATGTAAGTGTACAGTTCTGAATTATTTCTAGAAGAAATACGAAAGGAAAAAATTCCATGCCCAGAATGATAAAATATGCTCACATTCCTAAAACTTCTTACATTTGGGCCTACTTAATAAAAGCCCATAATTCTTCTGATGCTTTGAGAGAGGTAAGGGTAAGGCCATAGGGCGTTGCTATTCTGTCAATGTCCCACAGTTTCCTGTGCAAGAGAGACAGTAGAAACAAACCTGCCAGTTCTTGCAAAAACCCACAAGCAGTATCATCTTTCAGATCAAACAAGGAAGAGGGACAGAACCTGCTTCGGGTGCATGAAAAGAGGCAGTGAGACAATTCAGAACCATTACTCAAGCCTTGAAAGCCTGAAGGCAGCTCTTTATTATTTACCATTTAACACTAGAGCATTTTGATTTTTTAGATCAAAAAACTGGTTTCAGGGACTTGATTCTTCCAATTCAACTCTTCAGCAGGGAGAAGTTCCTCCAACTCCTCTGTATCAATAGTATTAATAATTAAAACCCCAAAAAGCTTCTTTTCTGCATCACTGATCATAAAAAATAGAAAAGGCCAGGCAGAGAGCTATTAAAAAAATCAGGATCTTTTTGCTTGCTGAATCTTTCAGCATTGATTAACTGTTTCAGGAAGCTGGGGGTGTCATTGAAAAGTTGAGACATTTGATTTAAAATGATCCAGCACTTTAAAAGGCATTAAGAAAAAGTCATCCATGGGCGAGACAGAGCAGTGATGGTAGCAGTAAAGCACTGCCACTTCTGTAGAAAAAAGTAGTCTACAACAGCACAGGAACAACAGAGGCAGGTTGCTGCTGCTCATCAGTCATTTCCAAGGCATTTGATGGCTGATTTTAAGATGCGATGGGAGAAAGGACCTCAAATGTGAGCTTACAACCTGGGCCCTGACCAAACCTTCCTTGTGGCATTCATTTTCTGGCCAATGCATAAAACTTTCAGTAAGTTTCTGTTGTACCTTGAAAAATAAGGAAAGAACGTCTATGCTAAAACATATGATCTGGTTGGATTATTTTAACTCATCAGGATACAGAGAATTAAATCTGGATATGTTTGATTTTCTAAGTGGCTTCAGAAGCTGTTAAGAAAGTCGATTGGGGAAAGGGCGAGGATGCATTTGAGAGCTTGTAATTGTTGATGTTTTCCATTTCCCATCAGTCTGACACAGAGCGTGTCTCATGCAAACAACTGTGCTGAAACCTCTTCTTTTCCAGGAAACTCAAAACTGCCTTTCGGGATTCAGCTGGCTGCTCCTTCCCCTCCTCACCAGAGATGTTTTACACACTGCTCATCCACCAGAAGGAACAGACAAAGCCTCCTGCTGCAGGCTGGGAGCAATTCCCATATACGCTTCAACTCATCCCTAGGCTAGTGGAGAAAAAATACCACTAACGGTGAGGAACAGAGAGCCCTGAGCTGCAGTGGGAAAAAGACATTTTTGTCTGCATATTCTGTAGCTTTGGGTTGCTGGGTAAACCAGTCACCACTCTGGTCTTGACCACACAAATGCTGCCGACCTTATCGAGCTACAGGCATGAGAAACTGTCTGATAAGAAAAGAGAACAAAATCACCAGTCTCGCAGAAACCCTCCGCCGTGGTTCCCGTGCTGCCTGAGCTGTACTGCACGTACTTTACGTGCACACAGGTAGTTGCCATTTGACCTGTGATGCAATTTCATATGTAAAGGGAGAAGAGGGTCAGTATTTCCTTTTCGTATCATGCTGTTCTCACTGAGGGCTTACCAAAGCAGTATTTCAGACAACGAAAGCAATACACTACGGACAGGTGGGACATTTTTTTCCCCATTGGAAACACAAGCCATGATCCAAGTCAGCTTTCCCTGTCCTCCATGCATCTTAACAAAGCACCTCAGCCCCAAGCCATAACATGCAGCTGAAATAACCAAAGTCCTCCAGCTGACTGATACATCCCAACAAGCAGGGGCAGAAAACCCCACGGGATGCTGAGATGTCTGAGGACAGGCTAGGAAGAAGGTTGCAGGACACCCCCTTGCAGCCACAGCTCATTTCAGTCCAGCTTCCATAAGGTAACACACTGCTCCATGAATCACTGTCTCCAAAGTCTCCCTCCCACCCCAAATCCTTAAGAAAGAGGAAAACAAAGCGTAAGGTTTGCAGTTCCCATGTCATATTTAATGAAAAACAAAAGGAAGGGGGGAAGACCCCTGACTTACTTGCGCAGTAGTACGAATCCTTATTGAAAGGTTTCATACAGTGGTAACAGGTTGCTTGGGCTACAACGGACGTCGCAGTGAAGAGATGTCCGTTTAACAGTTTCTTATCTTTTTCTTTCTCCTTGGAGTCTTTTTCCTTCTCTTTAGTCTTCTCTTTATCTTTCTCTTTTTCCTGACGAGAGAAAATGAACAAATGTCTCGCTACATCGCAGAGGTCTGTCCTCTAGTTACAAATTCATCAGCGTTTGCCTTTGGCACTCTGACGATATCGATCGATACACACCTTAACAATAGTGATGTGTCTGCACAGCTCTCTAAAAAAAATCAGCTTACAGCCCCCATGGATGTGGATTAACATCCTATTGACTCACAGAGCCTTTTGCACGGGTATCTCACCAGCAGAGATGAAAATGAATCTGTTCTGAAGGCAGCTATTTTCTCCCACCTTTGTTATATATTTGCCTGGTTTAAAGACTTAACTCTTTTCTTCTTCTGGGCTCTCATCAATCTTTTCAGCCCTTTCAATGAATTGTGTTAAATACAAACACCGTGTGTAATGCATATCAAACTTTCACCACAGTCAATTTTTAAGGCCAACCCATATGACTCGTGTTTTGCAAGTGCATTTTTAATGAAGAACACAAGCTCGTCCTTGGTGCCTGTACAGCATTACTGCCAGAGTATTTCCACCTCCTTTTTCCTTCTGACTAGCAACTTTTTCAACAGTTTCATGGAACCCCAAGTAACCACACGGAGCTTTTTGGGGAAATTGATCTTTCACAAACTCTCAAAATATGGCACCACAGAAAGGCTGAGGAACAACAGTAAGACCATAAAAGGTTATCTGATCATCTGTAAACCATGGTCCAACCTCTGGGCTACTCAGCTTTGGAAAGATGACAAACACAGCCAGCTTCTCCAACTTTTTGCTTACCTTTCTATTGCTACCTGAGACAGAAAATGCTAAATACTAAAGATTTGAAATGTTTTTCCCTGCGGCCTTTCGTGGATGTGGAATTCTCCCAAACAATTTTTAAAGGAAACTCCACAGAAAAACTCCAAATTTGAATTACAGCGACTCCTTGTCCTTCTATGTTCCACCCTACAAAATGTTTACCATACAATTCAGCTCCAGATCTGTATTTTAACTGTTACTGCAGATTTCACGGCATCTGAAAGAGAAGCTTAACCAGAAACTGGTAAAGGCTTCTGTAAGCTTATCTTTGCATTTTGTTATTTATATGCCACATGCCCTTTGGTAAATATTGTCACAGCCTAAGTATCAGTGAGCTGCAGAGCAGCCCATGTGAGCAACCGCCATGAAGCGGTTAAAAGAAGCATTGAGCCCTGCAGTCACCGGCAGGGAAACTGTTGAGCCTTTGATGACACACTCACACAATCAGTAACTCAGCCTAAGGTTTCCCCTCTCCCAACACAGCCCAGGCAAAATGCCAGTTGTCAGGGTCTCTGCAAAGCCTCATAAACAGAAAGTCTATTTACTGGCCCCAAATGCGATTTTGTTCTGCAAATAAGCAAAACCAGGAGCACTACCATATGGAATAATCCCGTCTGAAGCAGAAAACCTGCCAGGAAGGGTCTGCTTTGCAGCACATCTCTGCCTCCCTGGAGCCATCAGCTCGGATCATCACCCCACGTAAACCTCCTCCCACAGCCCTGTTCTCCATCCGCTGACCTGCCCACCTTTAACCATGTCCAGCCTGGCAGGATTCAAGAACTAAAAGTCTGCAGTTTAGCCCCTGGCCAATGGTACCAAGTTGACACCTGGAGTTTTGCTCTATTGCCAGGACTCGCAAGCTCCAGGAGAAAAGATGACCCTACGCTCAAGGCAGATCTTGCAACTCTCACACTAAAAATGCCGAAAGGAGATTGACCAACCTCTACGTTAAATGTACCTGATGTTTACTGCAAAGACCAGTAATTCTAGAGTCTGGAATAATACCCTGTTTTCATAAAAATCACTGTAAAAAACATTTTAATTAAAGCTGAGCAACCCCAGGAAAAACAGGAAACGGGTGCACCACTTTCAAGGAGGAAACACAAACTTCATACACGGGATGCCAGCCACACCACTGAAATACAAGGTCTCAAAACGAGATTTTTTTTTTTTTTTTTTTTTAAAAAAAAAGATTGTGAAAATAAAACCATTTTCCTGCGCTATAGGAGCTGCCAGTGTGACTTGAAGCACAGCTCAACGGCTGAACCTGCACCGATGTGCACTGACAGACATGACGGGCACCACGACTCGGTCGTACAGCCCACAATAACAGACCGTGCACTGCAGCAGCAGATACTGCTCCGAAATAACCACAAAGCTCTTACCTCCCAGTGCTTAAGTCCTACTAGCTTCACTGTTATTTGAGGTACTTCAGCAAATCTACTCCGTCTTATCGACATCCTTCCCCTGGGAGCAGGAGAGCTGCTCCCCACCAGCATCAGCCCATCACGACGGCCAAGAGGTGCCAGCACGGCCGGCCAGGGGGACGGCAGTCAGAGAGCAGTTGAGCAAAAGGGGGAGGGCAGAACGATTGCTGCTAACTTCCTTGAAGATGATTTTAGCTACTTTGCTATTGCTTTCATCTTGCCCTACCCCAGCTTCCACTACTAAAAAAAAAACAAGCCAAAAAAAACCCCATCCAAAAAACCCACAGGCAGGAAAGGATGGGATTAATATTTTATACATTTTATACAATACAAGACCACCCATTCAAAAGGCAGAGGGTGGTAAATCAAACCCTCTGTGATGTCTGAGATACAGAAAAAGTGAATTCTAACATACCCCAGTGCTGCTATGTAGTACTTTGGTAAACAAAGTGCTGCAGAAGATCTTCCAGACAGAAAGGTTTCACGTGTTTGTGGCTCCTTCTGCTCTACAGGTCACAAACAGTCCCTGTCTCCTCGTCCTTTCAAACACTTACAACTCTTACTATGGACACTGAAACGCTGTTGGTGCTACAGTGCTGCCTAATTACTACGCAAGTCAAGGACAAACAGAAATTACTCACCCTAATTTTTTTGTCGTCATTTCCCAGAAACTTTACCAAAATGAAGAAAATTAGTTTGGTTTTTTTTTCTAATTGACAGAGATAGAGCACGTTTTAGACTTCACAAACGTGAACCAGTGCATGCTGCTGTTCAAGAGATTCGCTGACTAATCCCCGAATAACACAAAGCACATGGCAGACATGGGTAAATTCACACAAACTTCTATCAGTATCTGCTCCAGTGAACACTCCAAACACCCCTTCACTTTAAGGGCTTTTTTACATAACTGTTTACCCATTTTCAAAAAGAACTGTTGCCATCAGCAGGCTCAGAGGTGCTTTACTTTATGGTTCATCTTAGAAAACAGTGCATTTCTGAAGGTTTGGAGACAAGCAAAACCTAGTTGGAAAGAAGCTGAAGCCTCTCTCCCTCCTGACAGCCCAGACAGCAGCAGAAACCAACTCTTCCTGCCCAACTTCCTCTTTCAAGGTTTGTTGTTTTGCTTTTTAACTCTTACATGTTTTCATCGGCCATAACCCTTCTGAGAAATCAGTGTTCCCAAGAATTTTTAGGTCAAATTATTTACATGTACAGCTGAAGCCCTAAAAATGTATGTCATGCAAAACGCATTCCACCACGAGCAGAGAAGAAATTGTAATTAGAAGGGTATTATGGCTTTTTATTTAAGTAAAAATATCACAACTGATACGAGCTGCAATTTTTGTAGTGTGTATTATCGTTGGGATTTTGGAGCAATTCTTTATCAACAGCTCTAGACAATCATGAAATCAGTGAAATGAAACTGCACTTATTTAACAAGAGCAGAGCAAGTATCTCAAAGCCATTCTGATATATCTTCTTACCTGTCCCAACCAGATTTCTTTTTTTAATATATATATAGGTTTGAGTGTGTGTATATCTCTAGTACTTGCAAGAGCCAGTTAACGAATTTCCAGTCTCGTTCGCAGGCTGTGCAACGTGCTCCACAACTTCTCGCTAGTGGTTTGCACAGCGGTTTCTATGTGAACAGACGGGTTCTTTTGACATCGTACTTCGCAGCAGGGAACAGCCCTGTCTTAAAGCTGCTCAGCAGCTTGCACCTTGAAAGGCAGATCCATAAAGAGGAACTGTGCGTTAGGGTGACTGATCTCACGACAGCTGGTACCTCATTGCAAGGGTGATGCAACCTTCCAAAACCGTGTATCAAAACGTGCGTTGGACGATGAGAGCACACAAACCAGGCTATGTTTGAGGAACACTCAGGCTGAAACACCAAGTGCTTTTATGCTGGGAAAGGCTAAAATCAAGTTTGCCTGTGCAGATGAAACGTGACCCCTCCCGTACGCGTACTGTGCTCCAGCCCAGACTCACTCTGCGTAGGCACAACGCTCGTTATGCCACATTTCGTTTCCTGTTTGCTATTCAGACACTCATCAGAACACCTATTTCCACGTCTCAGGGGCCTTCCAATACTATCTACCATCACATTAGCTACACATCACCTAACTATATAACACACACTGCCCACTGTGAGGTAAGGTGCTCTTAGCTTCTGTCAGGTATGATAAACTGAGGTGAGATTCAAGAGCCAAAGAATCTAACCAAGCCAAAAAAAAACCCAAGCATATATTAATCTTCAGGGGACCACCTAAGGCAACAACAGCCCATTTGCGTGAAGTATTTAGCACTGATGTAATTATTTCTGTAACCAGTGCTGTTCCCAGGAAATTCAGCTGCGCTGACCAGCGTTTAACCTTCAGCAAATTAAATCCCAGAGCTTCAAGGATGGGAAAAAGGGGAAAATATAAATATTGGCCATCACTAAAGGTAACAGTTTGAGCAACTTCTCTAGCAGTGCACAGGAACTTTATAGCAAAGGTGAAAATAAAGGTAAACACAATACAGCCTTCGGCAGCCAGTCCCTTCTTACAGCTCCTGTCCTCATTTTATTAAACACCTCTCGGGTTCTGTAAAAATTAGTCCCATCAATCACTGCAAAGCCATAACTCATGCCAGAGCACCATCTATTCTCTGTAATAAATGAAGCTTCTTTCTGTGGGTAAAAGAGGCAAAAACATTGCACAGGAAAACTGACCTCAGATGCATTTCAATTTTGGGGTGTTAAGATTTCCCATGTAGCTATTCCCTATTAACCCACTGACAATCCTCCCCTCGCAAAAGAAAGAAAGGAGGAAAAAAGTGAAGAAAGTCAGGCAAAGAAATAAATATCACCCTATGGAAACACACTGAAATACAGAATTTGTGTCTGCTACGTATGGGTATTTCCTGGCTGCATAAATCACAAGAAGCACTTACTTTGCTCTTCTTGCTGCTGGACATTTTATTCCTGAGGTAGCTGAAGGTGCGACTGACTTTTGTTACACTTTTACCAGCCGGGACACTGCTGCTCTCTTCAGATATGCTGAAATCAAAAAAGGAAGAGGTTGCTTTTATTTTTTTTTTTTCCTCCCAAAGCACCTATTAAATGGATAGATTCTCTTTTTTAAAGGACAAATGCATTTATTATCCAACAGAGTCACAGGCGGCTTTATGGTGTTATACCAGAGAAGGCAAAGTGAAGACAAAATACCAATCCAGTAAATTTGTCATATATTTCAAGGACTCTGTTATCTCTTTTTAAGCAATCTCCATTCTCAAACCATGCCAGAGCACCCTCTGCTGCTCCCGTGCCCAAATAACCACTAACCAGCATCTGTCCATTTACACGGCCAGTATTGCAGACACACGTTCAGTCTTGGCATTTATTCATCGATATTTCAGACAGAAAGGGATAGACACGCACACATCCTTTAGAGAGAAATCTCCTTCCAGAGACAGACATCTAATGAACTCTGAAAAGGCAGTGAGTGTCTTTAACAAAAACCACAGTCTGCAAAGCCTCCCCTGAGAGATGAGAACACCAATACTGCGTAATAAACAGCAATGATTATTTATATTAATTCAGGCATCTCTGGGACACCAAATATTTTCTGCCAGTCTTTACATGCACAAGCTTAGGACTTCTTCAGCTTTTATGGAGAATCAGAAATCACAGAGGAAATTATTATTTCATTAAAGGAAAGGACACAGCCTGTCAATAGGAAGTACAACACAAACCAGAAGCAGAACGACAGAAAAACAAATGAAATCGAGGAGAAAACAGCAACAAGCAGAGATGGAGAGCCTCCCAGCCACAAAATAAAGCTGAAACTATCAGACACCCAGCTCCTTCAGTGCCACAAACATCCTTCCTCCAGGGAAGTGCTTTTAAAGCCAGCACCCACCAGAAAGATTATCTCCTCTCTACAGCTTGCAATGATGAAAAGTAACGTATAAAAACACGACCATTTTGGCCTTTCTTATAGAAATATAGACAGAATTAACCAAAACAACTACTTTTAGTGTAAAATATAATTCAGGGTAAACTGATACTGTTCGATAATACATAATCTGTTATTAGCTATGAATAAACACAAAGCCTTGTTAGATACAAGTCATAGAACAAACTTTCATATTCTATGATCTAAAAATACCCTTCAGCCTTTAGGAATACAGCACTGATTTTCACAAGCCTGACAACTTGTGATTTCGGCTGAAGTGCACTGGTGCCAGGGATGCTTTTGGGTGTCCAAACCAGAGCCCACCACAGGAGTCCCACCAGAAGAGTCATGGTACCCCCAGAATACTGTACCTCTGAACCGAGGAACCCGTGGGGCCGCCGAACGCCTGCGTGCCTGGAAAAGATCGGAGGGGTGGTGGGGGGTGACATGTTAGACTGCAATCTTAGCCCACCGATTTTAAAAACATAGTTTGCATATTTAGACAGTTCAAGAGGAAGTGGAAATGTTTTCCAGAACTGTTTCGTGTGCTCAGGATACAGCCTGTTCCCTGTATCGTTAGGTGCTCTCAAATTAGATGCTCAGGTGAAAGCCTACTTAGTATTTTTATCATTCTTCAGCTATTAAGCAAAGGATGTGCATCTGTTAAATTCGCTGGCAAATCAGGGTAACTGAATCAGAACTGCCAATTCAACGGCAACACGTATAAATGAGAATCATTCTGCCACAATGCTTTTATTTATACACCACTAGAAAGAATCTATTGTACAACACATCCGGGTTTCATGCATAAAACTTTTCTGCTTGATAAAATTATAGTTCATTTTCCCATCAAAATCCTGAAGCAATTCATAAAGAGTAAGGGAAACAAGGGAAGCCTTATCCAGTTTTCCACAAAACATCACCAGCCTAGGGCTTAGTCACAAAACACTGTGCTTGAGGAAAGTCTGACTTTTGACATGAAGCTGAAGCCCTGCCAATGACACAAATTCTCTTTATACCACAAGAAACCTGCTTGCACAATGCATTTGGGGCAGATTAGGTAGCTGACACCATTTACCAGAACCGTCGAAGAATACTGAAAAAGCAGGATGAAACGATCCAGAGGAGAGAGGGCTCTCTCCAGAGTAACTGGCCTTGTCAGGAATCCAAAAAACCCTCACTAAAGCACTTTTTGCAGTCCTGTCTGAAGCTCATGCATGAAGCAGCATGACTGATCATCTTATTAGGCTTCTGCACATACATTGTAAGAAAAACAGTAGTTTTGCTTCAAATTCTGCTATATTAAAGCTAAGGGTGAATGCAAAAGAGCCACTTGACATCAGAGGCAAAGATGGCCCTCTATCCAAAAGCTGTAAGTGCATTAGGAAAAACTGTGCGTACAATATTATGCCTCATGATTCTAAAACACACATTTTCCTAACTGCTGATTCAAGCGCCAACACAGCCTGAGACAGAAATACCATTTCTTCATGTTTAGAGACAAAAATGCAAGCATACCCCGTTACCTAATCCATGCTTGGAGATCTCTCAATATCTCCCTTGCAAAATCTTTAATCTCATTAATGATCTATCCCAAATACAGCAAAGTTAGCAAAACTGTAACATATATCAAATGAAGTCTACTACTCAGTTTCCTGACTGTGCTGGGGGTTTAGATAATAACCACTACCTAAGCGCCTACTAAGATCACACAAGTAATTTACAGACTCCCAAATCCCTGGTTAACGCTCCAGTGACTCTGGTTCATGTTTCAGCTCTAGTTTGCTTTTAACATGGGCAAAGCCTCCTTAGTCTTTCCTTTTTTTAACAGATTCATCAATTTGACTTAAGTATTTCACAAACCTTTTGGTTTCTTTGCAGTTAAGGTAAGAAATATGAACAAATGCTGAATCAAGAGCTGTAATAATTTGGTATTTGTGACTGTTTTTCAGCACCTTGAGAAAATACATTGCATGGGAACTTCAATTACCCACTATTTATCTTTTACTGCAATAGTGGTTTATCTTAAGAATGGGGTTTCTTGACACTGATAGGCAAAATGGAGCCGGACAACAATCAAGGTGAAAACCTGTCTATGATTTCATATTTTAGGTTACAATATAACATCATATGATCGACACTCTGCTGCAAGCTATAAAGCCCATGAAGATATGCATAGAGAAGCACACATTTTCTCAATTTTAGGGTGTTAGTTTTTTTTTTTTTGGAGGTAGAAGACAGGAAGGAAGGTTTATTTCCATAATTTTTCTGTTTCCTATCATGACCAAGTTCAAAACTGAAATACTAAAATGGATTTCACAACCCACAAAAAACAAAAGTTAGTTGTTCAAAGGCCAGCACTGGTATCTATGTCCAATGAATATGGGCTAGCAGCCAAATTTCGGTGTACTTACCTGAACACCTCTTAAGCATCACCCACCACAGTTATTTCTTATGGTAGCTAGACTTGAAATAATTCATCAAGGTCCATCATGCAGAAAGCAGTGACTGGATTGGGATGTTGCAAACAAAAGAAACCAGCTCACAACTCCCTAATGCTGGCACTAATTAAACTTTCGAGGGTCAAGAAACCCAAAGGCTTCATAAAAATTTTCTAAAATGCACAGACTGGCTTGTCCAGCCACCTGAAATCCATGTCTTCAATATCTCATGACATCAAACAAACTGCAATTAATTCTCCATACTCTAGAGAAAAACAGGCATGGAGAGGTCGAGGAGTGGTAACTGAAATGTAAGAGTGATCTCAATGCTAACAGATCCATCCTCTTATGAGAGGTGAACCCTGAAGATGTGGAAAAAAACCCCAAACTACTCTAGGATTACTACATGAAAAATGCCCATTGCCAAAGCAGTCTTATGAATAGCTGTGGCTAAACCAACCTTTACATAAAGTCCACAGTCCCCTCAAATATGAGGGAATAAAACACACGTGAAGAAAGCAACATTTTTGTTTGAGACAATATCTGACATTTTAAATGCTCACTATTAACAGCAGCACTGTTGAGAGAGAGAAGATAAATTCTGGCTAACAGAATTGCTATATCCTAACCTAAGTAAGGAGTTACTTAACTGGTTGGGAGCTTAAAACAAACAGAAATAAATAAATAGATAGATCAATAAATAACACACCCGCCAACAAATAAACAAACAAAAAATCAAACCCACCAAAAAGTTTAGCTGAGAGTATTTTTTACCATGGGAGCGTGACATCCACGCACAGCTGCGTGTTTGCAGTTCACTTTGCGGGGACCATGAACTGTGAGTTTTGTTAAAAGTGGAAGAGAAGGACAGAGCAAAGGGGAAGGAGGAAGGAGCTTAAATATGGAAGTGGGTAGTACCACACCTGGAAAGAGCACAGGAGTTTCTTGTAGGAAGGGACAGACCCACTGTGAAGACGGAATGAAAAGGAGGAGAATTTAGATACCTGTAACACCAATGGTGTAGAGATTTGTTAAATTCAGGAAGCAATTTCCCCCATCCCAGTATGGTCATGAGGCATGTGGGCTCATTTCCTTGCAAACGTTTGATTTGAACCAACTAATACAGCTGCTCTGAATTTTCTCTGTAGATAATTATCTGTTCCAGTTTATTTCAACAGTAATAATAAATTTAAAAAAACCTAATAAAACATGCTTAAGAAATTAGAAACATTTTCAATTATCTTTGATAAGCCTCCAAGAGGAGTCCAAATTACTTTAATTCAATCTTCTGCCTTAGTTGGGTTTCTTTTATCAATGGAGTTCGCAAGAGGGAGAAAAAACCCCAAAACCCTACCATATAACATTCACCTGTTTCCCACCAAAAGTTTTCTGATAATAATGTCGGGACCTAGATATGAACACCCTGACAATTTAAGGTGTTTGGCTGCAACTTTCTGCTGAGTGGGGGAACGGTGAAGTCGCAACCAAGATTCTCAGAATTTATTATCAGGGCTTCTCTCCTCCTGCTTCCACCAAGCAATGCACTCACTCTCACCTACAGAGGGCAAGGATCTACCTCTTCTGTTAACTCCACGCACTGCAACAATCTCAAGACAAGTATTTTGGTTTTAATAAAAGGGTAATGACTATATTGCTGGTCAGAGTGGCAGATGATGATATTTGCCACATGGATACAGACCAAGACTAATCAGATGAGATGTGATGGTGCTGATTTACAAGACTCTTTGGATTATAGTCCTTTTATTCTGCCCTTAGTTAGCATTCAGATATAGGACCAAGGTCATGCAATGGAAAGGTTAGTTCAATGTTTGCAAGGTGAAACTTCAAGGTCTAAAGCAGAAAACCAGATTTCCCTTTGTTTCCACCCATAATGGCTGCAATGCACAGAAAATGATTACTTACTATCCAACTCCTCCTCCTCATCACTGGAAGAAGAGCCAATAGAAAAGAGAGTTTTAGACTTAGGAATGAGTGGAGAGATGCTGAAGGAGAAGGAGATTCGTCGCGATGGTCGACTCCGGCCCTGGGCTGAGAAGTGGGTTAATAGCAGACATTAGAGCATGCTTGAAAATGCATTTAATAATAAAAAGGAGAGGAAAGGAGCCAAAGCAAACTAAAACCAAAGCAAAGGAAATGTCTGCAAAGCAGCTGGCTTCAGAAAAGGTGCAAGAGACAAAGAATTGAGAATGTGCAAATTCCAGAGGATGCAGGTCTCACTGCATGCGTAACTTGAGGTTCAAGGCCTTCCTTATTTTTGCTGCTATCTTTTTATAGGACCCGTTAATGAAAACTTACATGTGGACAGTTATTTTCCCAAACAGAATACCAATAACACAGTGGATCTCTCGACAAAAGGCATCTGCTTCACTGAAGTAACTGCCAGGGCATCAAACTAGAACAGCTCAAGATATTTGTTTAATGGTGCTTTTTGCAGTTAAATGACACAGCAAAGCTGCTGGATATTAGCAAGGATACTCTATCTGAAGTGTTGACTTTATCTACCTGGAAAGGTGCTTGCCACTTCTAGCTCTAAAAAAACCCAAACGTTTTGATAACGTTAATGCCCTTCAAAGTTTCCAGCTTCAAAAAGAGATTTCCTTTCTTTTCTTCCAAACCAAACAGAAAAAAACATCTCTTCTCCTGCCTTCTTCTAAAACTCACAGTCCTCGTTTTAAAGAAACTGCCTAAACATGAGAAAAGCCCCTCTGCACCCTCTTGTGTCCTTGTCTGGAAGATGGCTACCAAACACAATGCCAAACTCAGCAATCAGTCCACGACATCAATCTCACATATTTCATTTTTAAGAGCAGGTCTTGCACAGCAGCAGCTTTGCAACAATTCTTTACAAGTACAATCTTCTCTGAAAAGAGATGTAGGAGCCAGCTAGCCACTCGTAACTGAAATTGCTACACAGCCCCTTACGGAGATGCCCAAGGGCTGTACTTCCCAAACCTTCTCATCCTACGAGCACAGGTGGAAACCTCTGAGCTGTGACCTGATCAACGTCAGGTTGCTGGATACCAGCCGCTCACACGGTGCACCAGTGCATCCTTGGGAAAGATAACTGGGACAGGGCTGGGGCAACTCTGCCCCTGGGACAGGTTTGACCTAAGAGTCCTACATTACATTAAACATCTTCGGTGCATATATTCAGACTTTTAAGTCATTCCATGGCACGGATAAATCAATCCACTTGCACAACAGGGAAAAGATGCTAAAGACTTTATCAGTGATAAACTTCCAAGAGAAAGAAGTAGCAATTATTACTCTCTTTGAATAAAACATGTCCTTTCTGCCATGTACAAAGAGAACTTTTTGTATTGTTGGTATCATACCCCAAAACTGAATTCAGAATATAAAAATACTACCCGAGGAAGATCCAACGCAAGCAATGCAAAGCAAACTCCCCTGAAATTTTCCTTCAGCCATTAGTCATAAATGCCAATAGCCTAGAGGCGATTTGACTAAAATTATGTGCATGCTTTTCCAACATAAGCAGAACAACCCTAGAGGGACCTAATGAAAGGCATTTAAATTGAAGAATTCTTAGCAAGATTCGTGTATTAGTTTTGTTTAGACTGCCTTTCAAAGGAGTTGTTCTAGTGTTCCAGACCTGAAGAACATGACTAGGCAACACTGACTTCTTTCTGCTGTAGTCTACTGTCTATTTAGAGTAAAAGTCAAGATGAACAATAATACTTTACTGTAAATAGAACCACCTCCTCCAGCACAGTTCAATTCAACTTACATTTCAGCGCTTTTATTTATAGCAGTTCCTGGCTTTATAACAATGCTCCACACTGGAAATTTGCTATTCCAAAGCTGAAAGCAGTCTTCCGAGCACTCCAGCCAACAGCTCTTGTGACCTCCCTCTATAAAATGCTGAAGGATTAACAGTTGTGAATGGCCACAGCAGCTCTTGGAACATCTGAGGCATCAGATGGAGTGCGGGCTAGAAACTCAGCCTTGGAAATTGCTCCTGCCTCAGCATGTATGACAACAAACAGGAAATATAAGAGAAAGCCCTCCATATGTTTATCCATTTGAACTTAGTTTTTGAAGCTTTTGTGCAGAACATGTTGATTTCTTCCCATTCAGACACAGAGAAATTGGGGTTTTTTTAAACACCAACACCAAAATTACGCAAATGGAATGACAAATTACAGTTTTCTGTAATTCACCTTCATGAAACCAAGGATTTATTCTTAACATAATTCTGAAGTATTCTGCTGCAATAATATGAATGTCAAGCCTAGGTGATACAAGGGAGTTTATACACTGAGACCTTCTTGCAAAAGGCACTAAGCTGCTTTGCATGTACTTATGGTCATAACTCAAGTAACATTATTCCTCTTTCAAAGTGTCTGAGGAAGAATAAAATGATTTCTGACTTTGGAAACTTCAGTAACAGTGTCAGAGTTGGAAAGAGAATCTGTGACCTAAATCTTCAAAGTGAGTAACCCTTTTGGATGCATCAACCGCCTCAAATGCATCAGTTTTCCGAAACCACCTTCCTGTAAAAATGGGGCCCTTCTGAGGTGTCACAAACTAACTACTGAGAAAATTAAGCTCACAGAAGCGTCAGTAGTTTTTAACTTCAGTGTCCAAACCTCACAGACACCTGCCTCAAAGCAGAAGACTAACCCTGCTACTTCTTACACAGCCTCTCTGGAACGCTTACTACATCTCTTTTCCTCCTCTCTCAATGAGACCATCATGGCTAGGCCAACTCTAGAAGAATATGAGATAATCAAACCTGTCTACACCAGGTGAGGCCTCAGTGGCATTTTTAACGTGGGTCCTAAGACAGAGAAGAGCAGAAAGGCGGCAAGTTACCCAATTCCAAGACGGAGGCACAAACTCTCCGCTGTCATAACCCCCCACACCATGGGCCTGAAGGAAAGTCTCAAGGGAGAGGGAGACAAGCCCCGGCCAGCCAGGCTCTCTCAGTCACCAACAGCACGTTTTTTGGGAGCTAGCCGAGTTATTTATGGTGTTTGGTTAGCAACTGGATGCAATGTCAATAAATTGGTTTCTTCAAAAATCCCCCAAAAAAACCCCAAAACCGACGACCTACATCCCAAGGAGGAAAGAGGGTGTGCCATTGCACAGAGCAGGAGCTGGCCTTTCACGGGACAGATCTGCCTGTGTTTTGGTTACCGTTGATGGGGGACACATCCGTTATGCCACATGCTTAATAATCATGGAAGAACGACAGTGAAGAAATTAAAAACGTCTCCTACAAAGCAGAATTACTGTGAGTTTCCTCCAGCAAGCCTCCTAAAAGAATAAAATGCCTTTCTTAAAAGCACCTTTCCCTTGCTCATCTTTGCAAGGAAGAAGCATGTTAATAAAGAGGAAAAGATCAGAGACCATTACTGATTGACATGATCTAAAATGTCAATATGGTTTCTGGCTGGCAATTAACAAAATGAAAACATGTTTAACATGGCCCTTCCTAAGCACATCCAGCTGCAGCCTTCTGAATGACTTCTTCAGCTGAAAGAATCAATTCAGTGAAGTTGCAAAATTAAGTGCTTGTTATCGTTTCAATTAAGCTAAACTGAAAAATTTCACCTAATCATATTTTATTATTTTCTTCAGGAATGAGATTCAATAAATTACACCCAGCTGCCCCAAAACATTTAACTCAAAATAAATAGCAACAAACTCCCCCAAGGAGATCAAGACATGGATTCTAAAGTTTTCATATCAACTTAAAAACATAATAATCTAGAAGTAGGAAAATACGATCTCAAGTGGAATTCACCTGACAAAGGAAGAAATTCTGAAAAGACGCAAAATTCAAACTTTTTTTAAAAATAAATTACACTTTTCATACCAGTAGTCTAATTTAAAAAGAGAGAACCAAACAAAAGAAACCAAACAGAACTGGAAATACCAGAGATATGCTGGGAAGAACAAAACATGGATCTAAACTGAACAAGTTCTGCTTTTCCACCCACAATTCTATGCAGCAGTGACACTTATATTTCACATAATATAGGAAAGCAAGAGCAGGTACTAGCAAATTCTGCCTTGGGAAGGTAGCAAGATATACTTAATAATACAGACGACAGAATGGATAAGGAAAAATTGCATTACTCACTGTCCAGCACTGGTTTACTAATTGACATCAGGGACATGGATTTGGTCAGTGGAGATGAAACAGCGGAAGAACAGAAACTAAATCCTTGCGGCTGCGATGTTTGATGCATCTGCCAAACAGAAAATAACCACACTGAGAAAATATGTCAAGAACAGCACCATCCTAACTTCAGATCACAGTTCAGTGTCAACATTTACTGAAATTCTCACTTTCAAACAGCGGAAAATGTCAACAGTGGCAGTATAAGGAAACAGGTGAGAAATGCAAGGACCATGAAAATGTAATCAGTGTCACACAGGTGAATTGCAACATTTTGTTTCGTCTTTTAAGTGTAATACAACTAATTATGCAACAGAGAGACCCTGGCTGCTTGATTTTTCTTGCAAGACATTACAAGACGGATACTGTTAACTGTCTGACGGCCACTGAAATTACTGCTGTGATTCCAACTCCTCAGCATAACTAGACTGTGGTTCAACATGGCAAAAGATCTGATGTTTTAACACTGCATTCCCCAAAAATGCCATTACTCAAAGCAAGAGAAGACATGAGTGTCTTGACATAATAGCTCTACAGGCCGGATCTCGTAAGACCCGTTTACTGCCTTGATGTATAGCAGTGACTACGAGGTAAACAGACTGGCTGGCTAATGATGCTGGCAGGAACCTAGAAAATACTATGGCTGAAACTTCAAACTCAAAAATTGGGGATATTATAATATTTAAGAGTGTAATTGCTTCTTTAATAAAAATGAGGAGAGACTCTCATAATATTGTGGCCCATCTGTTCTTGATAGCTATCACAGACTTCTGCTCCACAGAGATTACTCTAAATTGTCTTAATATGCAACTAATATTTTGCTTAACTGCTCCTTATAATAATGGGCCTTTTGATTCTGGTTCTGCCTATGAAAGAAAAAAAAAAATTTTTATTTTCCTCCTACGATATGAAAATAAACCTGAAAACTTTAGCAGATAAATTACTACTTGGTACATGTGTGTTTTTCAGGACTGCAAAGGGCAGCGTAAGTATTAATTGTGGAAGCCTCACAACACCTGTGATTGATAGTGTCACTATATCCATGCTACAGGTCAGTAACTTTTCCATGATTACTCATGCAACCAGTGGAAGAAACCCAGCAAGTTTCTTGTTCTCACCCTAAGACTTTGCCCATCAATGATGTTGCCCCAAAGAACCAAGCAGCAAAATTTAACACAGCGAAAATTCCTCCATGTTAAAGATTTTAATAGTATTACATACATAGGCTGGAAGCTTCACAATGAGACTATCACTTGGGAAATAACATCCAAAACATTGATGTAGCATTTTCTAGACATCTAACAATAGCTGGACAGCTTTACCTGGTGATCGTAGTCTCTGATTTCTCCTTGCTCAAGTTCTTCAGTGAGCAAGACCAGGGACCCGCACTGATTGCTGGCAAGCGGACTCCGCCTGAGGTCTTTGGAGCTCAGAGAAGAAGCCTCCAGGTTTGTAGACGGCTTCTTGTTCTCACCAGTGTCTCCAGCAAGGCCTTCTAGGCTGTAACTGAAGAGAAATCATGGAGGTTAGATGCTGACAAACTTAGGGAACAATATCTTTCAGCACATAGCACCTTCAGTGTAAAACACAAGGCAGTCACTAAACTGTGCAGGGAAATGCCAGTGTTATTCCTCAGCCTGTTACTTCTCAGTGACCAAGTGCAGTGGAGGGGTTTCTATTTTCTTCAGAACAAATAGCAGCATCTTTGTGCCTCTAATGATACACAGTAGTCGCCTGAATGACTGTTCAAACTCCTGGTCAATAGCCTTTCCTACCGTTTTTGTTGGTTTGATTGGTCTTTTTTTGTTGTTGCTCGGTTTTTTTGGGGGGTGGGTTTTTTTTGTGTTGGTGTCACCCCCCCCGCCCCGCCCCTCCGTCATCCTTCTTCTTGAGTGGTGCACAGGAAAATCTAGAAATATCTCTTCTAAAGGTTTTGGTATTTCCACATATTCTCTTAGCTATTTTTTTATTAGGCTCTCCCTTGGAATAAAGCCACCCAAATTAAACTACCTTGTATAGCACGCTGCTGCCTGTCTTGGACCAACACCCCCCCCAGCAGCCACAAAATCCGCTCTGGGCTGGCCTGTGATGTTCATCTCTGCAGACACATCCTCTGAATCTCTTTTGCACTTGCCACTGCACAAAGCTTCGGCACTGACAATGTCCTCCTTTCTGCCAAAGCTGGTTTCTTTTTTTCTTTTTCTTTCTGTTCCTTTTTTTTTTTTTCCCCAATTCAATAAATATTGTCTCCATCAGCCAATCAATCCTATTTTATCAGTTGCTTTGTCAAACAAAGCCAGACATCACTCAAAGCTAATTAAAATACCAAACTTTTGCTTGCAGAATTGGTAGTAATAAAAGGTTTGGCCAACCTTTGTACAGACAGCTGCTGATAGACAAGTGACCTCTACAGAAAGATGCTAATACACACTCTTCTCACCTCCTCTTTCACATATGACTATTTCCATCTGATATATCTTGGCCCTAATATGCTGCTTCTGACCCTCCTGCTCCTTGTGCCCAAACACCGACAAACCCACTGCAATGCCAGTTTGGGTTAATGGGCAAGCTTTACAGATTCACCTCCTGGTACACTAGCACAACTCCGTGGCTAACGTTTGATTTGATGATCATGAAGTCCTGCTAGTTTGAAGCAAGGCTTACCCTGGATATATACCCCAACCTGAGGCTAATCATGACATCTGAGTGGCCACCAAGCTGACATATAAACAAATGAAAGGCAAAGCACATTACAGACTGTACAGATTATTTAAACAACGAGGGGAGCTTTACATTCAGGTAGACTTGCACAGCAGCGATTAACATTCTGCATTCCTTCAGAAGCATTAAGTGGCTGATAAATATGCATCTCCAAAGCAAAAATTACAATAATCCTTGAATAAGAAGATTTACTACATTTAAAAAGATTTTTTTTCATGGTAATTAATGACAAAAGTCTGATTGAGGCGTTTACAATTTAATCTGCTTTAGGAAGATTTTGACTCAACAATGTACACCAATAGCAGGCATTATAAAGCTTATTCTAAAACACCTGCAGAGAGAAATCAGTCCCATTTCTACCGATTATTCAGGGCAGAAGAATAGCCTTTTTCTTCCTTGCCAAGGTGGTAACAATGATGTTGCATAGTACAGAAGAAAAAAAAAAAAATCAAGTAGTTTGCTGTGACACAAACAGCTCAAACGTACAAATATTAGCCCATAAAATAGTTACCAGTGGGTGATACCCATCTGTAATTTGTCGGTTGGGGTATATAGACCAAACATAATTAAATCTGTAACAGGAAGGACAGATTAACTTCTTTCTCAACATCTAGTCTTCAGAAAAAGAGTTTAATAGTTCTACCCACAACCAACCACAACTGCCAGAGGAAAGCTATAAAGCTATATAATCTGGGAGACTGGCTTCCAGGCAACATCAGATAAAGCTCTGACCTGCAAGCATCGATCTCAACTCTGGGACTTTCTACAGAAGATGTAAGTCCCTGGGGAATTTTCATCTGTGGCTATTAGATTGGTTTCTCACAGAAAGTTTTACACGATTAGTCTCTTTGAAGAAAAAACTAGATCTTTCAATTTCCAAAGAGCAAGTCTGTATGAACTTAAAGCCTTTATGAGATCCATCCAGAACAAAGTAGCGCTGAATCACATTAACTCGTTTTGATTCTTTGGCTGTCACAATTATTGTTACCATCATTGCTGTGGAAAAAACCATGCTTTTAAAATCACCATGGAATAGAGCAGCTCAAACCAACAGTGCAGCTTCTTTAATGCTCGAGGCAATGAAAAGCAGCCACCACCTTCACCTGCACCCCACTTCAGAAGACCCATTCCCAAGACTAATTGCTGCAAAAGCAGACGAAGCAAACACACACGTGCACACTTCAGCCAGAGCAGCAGCGGAAAAGGTGATGCACGAAAAGCTGACGACAGGGTATTCGCAGTGCTCCACTGCTGCTGCTGCACATTTATTTATACCATACCTTCTACAAGTAAAGTCAGGACCCATGGCAATGAACTGTACGCCAGAGGGACACCAGCTCAAACTAGGAACATCAAAAGAGGCAAAGAAAGGAAAAGGGCTGTGATTATTGTATTGTTACGGAACAGGGGAATGTTAAAAGACTCTCACTCTTGCATATCTTTAAAAAAACCCCAAAACCCAACAAATTCAGAAATAATGCAGTAGCCACTATGTATTTCTGGCTGCCAGAACACACCAGAGTGCTCCAAGTGACTGAGGTTACCACCGAATGGGTAGCAGGACAGCCCATGCTTCCCCCAAACCAATCCCATTGGTGAGTATGCAATGTACTGCAGAAATTGCTCCTTGTGAGGAGAGAAGTTTTTGGGGAAAACAAGGCTGAAACACAACAAAGCCAATTTTGCATAAGTAATCACACAGAGCTGTTGTGTTAGTAATGATTAGTGTTTTTCTGGTACCTCTCATCCCCAAATCAAAACCGAATCCTTTACACATATTTAATCGTTTAAGTCCCCTGCATACAAGTATTAATAACCTCAGGCTACGACTGGGAAAAACAAGGAGAGAGTTACATTCTTAAATGCTGCACAGCAAACAGTTGAAAGAGGCTGGAAGAAAAAAACCCCAGGCCTGTCTTACTATTAACTTGGGATTAAATCAAGAATCCTTCCAATAGTACTTTGACTAGAAAACCTTTCAGCTCCCATACCCTGAAAGAGTCCCGAGTTGCATCATGAAAGACCTAAGAAATGCAAATACAGAATGCAAGTATTTTGGTTGTTATTTTAAATACTGCTTTTGTTATTTTTTTTTCCTCTGTCAGCAGGTTTCACAGACACAGAAATCAATCTTCTTGTCAGCTACAACATATAAAGGATCCCTAAATCCTGGAAACACTGTCCAGGAAACATACGTTGTCTGAAGGGAATTTTGCATCAGCACAGATCTGCCAGAGCAGCGCTGCACAAGTCTTGCTCCCAGCCCCTGGCCTGCAGTCCATGCAAGGAAAGGACATGGCCAGAGCACGCTCTGCTCCATGCCAGGAGCCTACGACAAGGGCAGAACAAGTCTAAGCATCCCTGGGCCAGGATTTGTGAGTGCCAGAAGCCTCAGAGGGCACAGAGGAAAGTTTAAAGCCACGGACCGCATCATCTGGTGCCAAGTCAGTTTCCACACGCAGTGCAACACTGGGAACATTCAGGAAGGGTTTGGCGGTTGGTATTCAACGGTGGAGTAAAGCTCCAGGTGGGCTTCACCAGTAGCCCTCAGGACAGCATCATAAGCATTCTTCATGAAGACATACCTTCCCATAACACGCCAGTGTTTCAGAGTACTTCATCATCATCATCCAAATAAACCGTGGTGGCAGATGTAAGTTATTAGTGATGGATGGGGGGACTACATACTTGCTTGAGATCATAAAAGAACCAAGTCCTGGCCACAGTAAACCCATCTCCATCATACATCTGTCCGGGTTCAGCCTCCCAGTGGGTCAGTAAATCCTGCCTAGTGGAAACTAGATGGAGGCTGAGAAAGTATCCCAAGGAAGGCACCATACATGCTTCCCCTCTCCTTGCTTCCCCCAACCATCTGCCTGTGGCCCCAAGACTACTGGGCTTGGTGGACCCTTGGAGCTATGCTTACATCGACTTGTTTGCAAAAGTCAGTAATTCTCGTGTGGTCACTTTTCAATCGAAGGAGAGAGGATTTTCCTCGTTAAAAAAAATGATGCAACATTTACACCAGATAGTGCGCCTTAAAAGATGCCTCTATTCCTGACCATTGCCATGTTATAGTGACAATCCCAAATGCTAAAACTGCAGTGACAGGAAGGAGAAGAGTGGAGGGAGGGAAGGAAAGGAGCTGTGCAGGAGGAAGCCTGGAAGTGGCGCAAAGTCTCAGAGAAGGAAAAAGGCCTTTCGGAAAGCAGTCTTAACGGAACTGCAACCCTGCTGGGGAGCCACCCTCACTCTGTTGGCAACACCATAAAAACCAAACAAGATCAATGCAGAGCATGCAAAACCCCTTTAAAGAAGATGACTTGGGGAGGGGAGATGAGCTATTATGTACATCAGCCCCGAGGGAGACCATAAACTGTTGGAATTAATTTCAGGCTGTTGCTCTGCAACTGGGGTTAGAGACGATGATACCAATATGGTTGGGAGGCCAGAAAAAAAAAAAAAGACAGAATGCTTATGAAAATTACCACACGTTTCAGATATGACTAGGTATTTTGGGTTGCCTATTTGAGACATTTTCTTTATTCTACGTGTAAGCTCAGTGTTTCAGGATATTACAACTCTGAACAACTAAAACAGCTCCTACAGAGGAGCCTTAACAGACAACTGGTAAAAAGATGTTCATTTGCATGAGCTGAGAAGAAAAGGCACTTATTCCTCCAGAGCACAGAGTGATGCAAATAAAGTGGCTTTGTAGAACTAAAAAAGCATGTTCTTTCTCGTGCCTTTTTTAAAAAACTGTTTTTCAAGAACCCTCTCCTGAACTGTACAGCCCTGCTCATATGGCTTCATTTATACTGATGCATGGTAAGGCATGGTGATTTTTTTTGGTAATAACATCATGGTACCATTTTTTCTATATGTGGAACTATGGCAGTTTGTTAACACGCACACACGTATCCCCATCCATTTCAAGGGAAGAGAAATCCTGAGTTAACCTGCCACAGGAGGAGAGGTAGCAGGCTGCGGGACATGAGAAGAGGCTGAAGCCCTGATGGGAGAGGTTAAACTCTTTTTTCTTTTTTTTGCCTAAAAAGTTTAAGTGTGTGACAGCCCACATGTCTGCTGTGTCAAAAATTAAGTGTCCTATTTTTATATGTTAATAGACAACGCAAAGGTTACGTGAGTGAAAATGCATATCTGCATGATGGATGAGGAACTGAAAGTTTGCTATACAGAAGAAAAACTTAGGAAGATAGTTATTAAAAAAACCCCAGCAGAACAGCAAAATTAAAGCCATTTAATTCAACCAGCTGCAGATCTGCAGCGTGTTCTCCAACTATGAGATTGTGTCTGGTGCATCCCCTTCCCAGGTGCCCCTTCTGCAAGTCTTGGCAGGAGTCTCTGATGTGCTTTAAATCCAAATTACTCACATGCTCCCAGGTAAACAATTATTTTAACAGAATTCCAAATCTTACACATGGCAAAGGCCAACAAAATATCTGAGATTTCTCCAAGTTATTAACCTATTGTCCTGGAGAAAATGGCTTGAGCATGTGCTCTGTGGGTCAGAAAAACTGCCCTGGGTCAGACTGGAGAGGGAAAGCAGCGAAGCGGGATGCAGAGCTCTAACACCAACACTTTCAGAGGTACTAGAGGTTTACTAACATGACAGTATGGAATTAGTAGACATTCAAACGCAAAACAGTTAGTCACGTTAGTTGGCTTTGTACCTTCTCCTATGAATGGGAGGCTTCTTTATACCATCCCCCAGAACTCGCATTGAACTGAAAATGAATCATGGAGAATGGTCAGCAGCTTGAAGGGAAAAAACGAACAAATGGCAGGTGAAGGAATAATATCCCCACACATGAACAACAGAGGGAATGGACGTACAGGGAAAACACAAAATTAAACACTAAAGGAAGTAATGAGTCTCTTTTCCTCCTCTCTTTTACAAATAGATCTGTTTCTTGGTTGGATTTTTTTTGTACAGAAGAAGGTTTCACTGATATTGACCACGTTGCAACTTAGCTGCTGTCAAAGCCAGGTCAGTTTAAAGTTTAGATAAGGACAAACTATTTGACAGAAGCTGTTAGCAACCATGATTAACACCAGCTCCAGTTCTGCAGTGCTTAATCCATCAGTGAAAAATGCCGGCGTTTCTTTCCTGGGACCCGAATGTTAAAAACACTGCATCATTGTTGAAAGACAGGCATTTGAAATCCGCTATGAATGTCAGGAATTAACTGAAGGATGAACATCCTTTTGTGGCAGCCTTGTTAGTTTTCTTTGTATTTTTAATAGCAAAATGTAGACATGAGGATTATCCATGAAGTGCATTTAAGGAGAGAGAGGAAGAGGAGGGGAACTGAGCATGTTTTCACATTTTATTTAAGACGATTACATTTTTTCTGATCTTTTCTGTGAACAAACTTTTATGCTTATCCCTCTTACAAACAGAAAACACATAACACTGGAAAAGGCCAAATCCTACAAAAGATTGATTCTTTTTCCATAGGCTCTTTGGGTCCTGTATCAGCAGCTCTACTTAAACTTGACTTAGCTACCCTTGCCATCAGGGGAAAGACTATTTTTGGTGTGGATGAGGGCTGGACCAGGCCGCAAGTCATTTGCTGGGCCAGGAGGCACCTCTTACAGCTCGGCTGACCGTGCAGCCTGCCACCCCAGTACTCTTCCCAGCTGCACAGCCCAGTTGCAATCCTTAGGATAGTTTTGGTGGCAATTACACTTTATTTGGTTCATTTTTTGTTCATCTGTGGAGCAGAGAAGTGCCACAGGTGCCCAGAGGAGGAGAGGGAGCAAGGACAAAGGGTGGCAGGTGACAGGAGCAGCACAGGTCCTGCCTGTCAGCAGGCCAAATCTTAGCTAAGGCTTGTGCTCTGTGTCATTTCACTTCAAGGGTTTGCAAAAGTCATTACAATGAGGGCTTTCCCCTTTTAAATGGAAAACTATCTACTACATGTGAAATAAATGAATAAGCAAACACTTGAATTTAACTGATTTGTATGAAAGGCACTTGTTAGGGCTTCACGTCCTCAGTATTTGTGGCTGCTCACTAAGCAACCAGAATCTCAACATCACAACAGCCACGTATGAAAAGAACAAAGAAAAAAAAACAAACCACCAAATAATCCAAATTCCTTTTTAACAGAAACATAAAAAGGAACCAAATCAGCAGCAGAGAGGCATCCAGCTTTTCTTTTTTAATTAACCTATGCGACAGCTATTCTTATGTAGCCACAGCTGTACCTAAGAACATAAGCAAATAATTACTGTTCCTTTAACTCAAATTTTCTTACATTTGCAATGAATGTATTTTCCCTTATCAGAAACAGCCTCCAAAGCCTGGCGCAAGAGAATTTAACCCCATCTGTTAAGTGTTAGCAGTAATTGCCAGCTATGCAGTTTATTACCCTCAGAAATCCTTACATAACAGGTCCTACACTTAAAAATAAATCTCTCCAAATGAGTTTATGAGCTTATGGACTCATTCTGTCATAAACCTGCATGTATACCTTATGCTGACTCTTCTGTAGCTTTAAAAAGAAAGGTTTTACTTAATTTATTTAAATATTACCTGGGGACCAGAAATTAAGTCAAAAAAAGGTGGTAGTGGGTAAACAACAGTAACAGCAGCAAATAATAGTAATAATAATCGTATCACCTTTCACCCTATGTTGCAATGTTCCTAAACGTTCTTCAACATTGGCTTTAAAATCCCAAGGGTCTATGATATTCCTCTAGTGATATCCACAGCTCCTAACACGTAACAGATGCATTCATTTCTGGGGGGAGGCTGCTGCCTCTCACTGAATTATCCAAATGGGTCAGTAACAATTTACCACGAAGCCATTGTGAGTGGCCAGTTTTAATTTAATGGCATCACCAAATGCAACGGCTCCGTTTATCTTAAAAGCAGACCCGTGGCCATGAGGATGGCAGCAGGCAGCAGCACTGCGCTGCACGCCTGGGCTCGGAGCCCCTGCAAGCTCCAGGTCTACACCAGAGGGACAGGAGGATACGGCACCCTGACCCTGCGAAAACAACTCGCCATCCCTGCTCTGAAAGCACTAAAATGCATTAAAACCACCGCCCAAACCTCCACTTGTTTCAAAACACGCAGGGTTTGACCTCAAGCATCCGGCAGCCCAGATGCTGAACGATGCACAGCATGGCAGGGAACCTTCCCCCGACTACTTTACTGGTGTGCATCTTCCTTTACTTCATCTTTTTCCCCACCGAGATGGGGGGCTGAGCACTTTTTCTTCCCACAGTCACTTGGCACCAGCACCTACACACTCACACGGCTGTTACACCTCTCCCTCTTGTATCTTCTGAAAGAACAAATGGGAAAACTCCCTTTTTGATTCTTCCTGGGCACCACCGGGGACATTGGTGATGAGTTAGGTGGGACTTACCGTCCATGAGAAACTGAGATAGAACCAATTCTGTGAAACAGGGGCCACCCATCTCACCGCTATGAGGAGCCTCCACACCTTTTTTTAAAACCCTGGTGCCCATGCTATCTCTTAATACAACCAGAGCCATAATGGTCATGTTTATTTTGTGGTCAATGAGATTTAACACTCCAATAATTCCTTTAACAAAGCCCTTCACGTAGAAACGGGCGGTGACAGTTCAAATGGAAGATCTGTCCCAAGGTAATTTCATCTGCTCTGGAAAGCTCAAGTGTACTGTAGGTATTAAGTACTTTAATCCTGAAAGTTAATCTAAAACAAACAAAGAAACATACATTAGGAGATTGTCTTCACCCTTTTGAGTGAAAAAGAAACAACCAGAAGTGACATCCTCAGTTTTCTGTTTTATCATGCCAAGTCCAAAGCTTAGATAAATACGTGTGAGTGGGTGCAAAGTAAATCAAAGCAGCTCTTCACTCACCTCCTCTGATTTATTTCTGCTTCATTGGTGGCGTTCTTCCCTGGCCCCCAACTGTGTCGACGGAAAGGTGACAGAGGCCGCATGGAGTTTCGTAAGACGGAGGAATGAGTGGGCACATCCGTGATACTGTCCAGCTCCTCTTCCTTCTCTCCTCCCTCTGTGGCCACCATGTTGGTGCAGCTGCCATCCAGGCTGTGCCTGTCCTTGGGCTGGACAAAGTTGACTGTCGGCGGGAAGGGAAGGGACGTGTCGCTGCCCAGGGAGGAGTTCCTCTCCAGGGACATGGTGTCATCTGCAGAGGAACTGGAGCTGGTGACATCGCATGCAGACTGCTCCTCTTCAGGCTGCTGTGGATAAGAAAAATTAGAAATATATTGAAGTAGAATCATAGATTTGGGTTGGAAGGGATCTTTAAAGACCATACAGTCCAACTCCCCCGCCACAGACAGGGACATCATTCATTAGATCAGCTTGCTCAAGGCCCCATCCAGCCTGACCTTGACCACCTCCAATGAGGTGAACAGATTTAACATTTTAAATAAATGCAAATATTTTATATTTCACATGAACTAAGACATTTCCCAGTTGATAGCACGAGGCAAATTAACCAGTGAGACTTTTTGCTCTGGTTTCAAAAGAGGCTGAAAAGCTCTGCAGAGCAGCCTCTCCCACCCCACAAGTCCCTGGCTGCCATAACCCCGGGCTCCCACCTCAGGTCCTCTGCCTCCCTTTCTCTCCCCAATTCCACATTTCATCCTGCACAGCAAATCCTGCCCCTCTCACCATTTCTGGTGAAACCTGTTACGGGTCAAGGTGCCACAAAACCACCAAAGGTTTACAGAGCGCGATTAATGGGCAACTGGGTCATCATGACCCCTGATGACAAACTCCAGCTTCTCCTGTGGGACCCAGGATGGGTTTGTACCTCTCAGCCATGAGAGCTCAAGGGCAACATACTGTTGCACTGCCCACAAAAGGGACAATTATTCAGTAGTAGAAAACAAACAGAAAAAATAAAAGTTTAAATCCCCGTCCCCCACTACTTTCCATTAACCAGAAAGTTAATGTCAGGGTTTGCAGCATTTTTCAAATCCAACTGTAACTGAAAAATATTGTTCCACAGGATCAGCTGCCCTGTATTACAGGTTTCGAGTCATACTGCAATTTTTGGTTTAGTTTGCTCCAAAAGCAGTAAGTGGAAGCCAAACTGGTTCTCTTTGGCCAAAGGCCACATGCTGACAATACAGCCTGAGAAGAGCCTGTGTGTATTCTGTGTCCCCCGTGGCTAGCATAAAAACACACAGGCATCTCTCTGACATCACCTTCAGTCTGAAATGGTGTTTGCCCCGAGGGACTGATGTGGGAAGTTTCAATTTATTCTCCTCCAGAGCTCTGCACTGTATCATTTAAAATAATAATAGGCAGAATGATCTGTCAGACTATATATAATAGACTATTCAGCAAAGCCACGGCAGTTAATTGTCTTCAAATAGCAGGCTCGGTGGGTCTCAGCAAAAGCTGAGCGCTCAGGGAGCTGCAAGCTGTCAGCTCTCATTGGCATAAGGCAACAGGCTACAAAATCCCGTTCGCAGAAGGGAGAGATGGGCATCAAAACCCACACAGGGCGGGATGAACAGGAGCAGTGCTGCCCCATGGCAGTCCTCACCTCAGACCCCACTGCCCTGACTTCGTTCAAGCCCAGCAGTGTTAAAAGCTCCAGACACTTTTGCTTTTCTGTGCTTTTTTTGATGGGCACACATTATAAGCTAAAAGCTTCTTGTGAAACTGAATAAAAAGAAACCGAGATGTTCAAAAAGTATTCTAATCAAATATTTCACCACTTAGAGTGTTTCAAGTTTGGCTATTTTTTATTCTTATTTTGGTTTAACAGGTACACAATAATGTTCCTAAGGTGTTTTAAGTAAATGCTATCACACTATTCCCCTTCTCCTAGCCATCAAAGAAAAAACAGAAAAAAAGCATCCACAGCACAACACCTAAGCACAATATAACTTTTAAACCAAAAATGTTAAAAACCAGATTAAATATATCTGTCCAAAAGCATTCATTTCATGGCAAGGAACATCAAATATTAATGGAGAATTTGTGTAGATACTTTAATAGTAAACATACTGTAATGTGAAGTATTGGATCTGACTATTCAAATACGAAGTGCAGGTTAAAACAGGAGAGAACTGAAATGGATGCCCAGCAAAGTTTTTGATGACGTTTGGTATTATTCAAGATAATCTGGTATTTGTGTGAGTCATGATGAGAGCTTACTGAATTGCTTAAATCCAGACAAATTAAGTAATCATTATGTGGATAATACTCCTTCAGTAGAGGAAACAGTCGTCTTCGCTTTTCTGAGACACAGGAAAATACTGTCAGACGTTAGGGCAGAGCAGCAGGAGGAGGGAGGACGACCTGCCAGTGGAACAGTGGAAGGACGGGACAGTTTGGTAAGATTAAATCTAGCAATAATAGTGCAGAACATCAAATTATATAGGGAGGAATTAGAGTAAAAAGAGGAATTTTTATTTCCCAGATGAGAATACTGCTCCAGTTTAAAATGTGGAATAAAAACCACTCCCTTAGCAGAAAGATGAAAGAAACTTGGTGAGAAGCTAGTAAGAAAAAAAGAGATAAGATATAAAAAGTGAGTTTTCTGAGAAAGAACATATGTACTTCTTCATGAATAGGGATAACAGAAATCACTAGGATGGTGGGGGCATAAGATAACTTCTTCAACTAAATCCCTCCATCTGTAGGTGGTCTTGATAAGTGGAATTAAAATGCTCTTTCAATCATTTTTGTGATGACAACACGCAAAGTGCTGAGACACAAACTTACTCTGTTCCCTGATCCTCCATGTGACAAAGACATTAAAGGTGTTACAGTATTAAAAAATAAAATAAAATAAAATGAAACCCTGGCATCCTGAAGTTTATATGGCCTGCCATTACAGTACAGGAGTCAGCATCTTTGGTTGGCTTGATGTATAACCTAGCAGTCACTTTTTATTTGGATTTGCCTATGGCTCCAGGTTCCCTAATATTAACCTCAACAGTAGCATCCTATTAACTATTTATCATAATTGTTATAATTTGGAGTGGAGGACTTTTCCCCTGGTGAAGGCCTCTCTCTTCAAGCTTTTATTGTTTTGGGTTTGTTTTTTCTTTTTTTTTTTTTTGCATGGTTGTTGTTTTTTTTGTGTTGGATTTTGTTGTTTGTTGTTTTTTTTTAAGAGAAACAGCAGTTCTGAAAAAAAATGCAAAATATTTATGTATTTCCTCGAGCAAACCAAAACAGAGGCAGAAACAAAACAAAATTCAAGCGGTTGAGCTGCAACCCCTTCCTTTGACAATGATCTGTGGGTTCCCGACTTCCCAAGGGCCTTTCGTCTGAATCATTTCCCAAGTGGCACATCAAAAACCTTCCCAGTAATACTGAATTTCAGTGGCAGGTTAAAAGTTAAGATGAGCAAAGCGTATGGGCTACGCCCCAGGACGTTGCCAGATGATTGTGAGAAATGACCTTATGCAGCATTAATCATTCAAGAACGAGGGTGTTGCAAAGCCTGCCCAGATGGCTGGCTGAGACGGAGAAGGAAAAGCAGGATGATGAGGACATGGGAATGAAGTGCTGACGCAAAAAAAAATAAAACATTTTGCTGAAGCCTTAGACCTTACTGGAAGCAATTTCTGGATTTCAGTGACAGCCTCTGAAGTCTGAAAAAACAAGCCAGGTTTTAGTGCTAAAGCACATGTCCTTCAGAGCAACAAAAAAAAACCCAACAAAAAAGGACACGAGCAAAGGAGATGGTAAGGAGAGCATGCACCGAACTCCAAGGACAGTTTAAAGCACCTTCAGATTTTGTGACCCCACAGACCCCAGTTCTTCATGGTCCTGGGATAGAACCAGGGCTTAAAATCTATGAATTTCAAGTGATGTCTACTGAAGTAGCCCAAAGACCCCGGACAGCCAATGGCTTGCCCTTCCTAATTTTCCTTTAATGTATTAAGCAGTTAACAGAGGATTAATTTACACAAGAAAAAACAACTCTAATAGACAAAATTCAACTCTTGCTCCATACAAAGGGGAAACAAGAACAGGACTAGTAATAACTATAACCATCATAACACTGAACGTTTGAGATCCTCTTTTTGATCATTAACTTGTTCTCTCTCTTCCCAATTTGATATGGAAATGGTACTATTTAATAGGCTTATAACTAACCAACCACAACCAAGATATGCATCTAACAATATTTTCAGAAGAAAGATTAAATCCGGCACTTATTTTAGTGGTTATTAAAAATATTTATAACTTGCATTTCTACGCCCTGGGCTCAGTAGTCTAAAACCAAAAAAGACTGAATTAAGGAATGAGCTTGTAACACTAAACTAGTGTCTCTGGTCCTTCTAGAAATAATTTTAACTGTAGAAAAGGTACTCAGATAAATTCTGAGAAAGGAGACAAGGAATCTAGTTGTCAGCAAAGCAGAGACCAAAAAAGTGACCGAGATTGAGATTAGCTCTGAATAACTTCCTAAACTCAACTCGCAAACCTTTTGAACCCATTTGTACATGAAGTCTGCAATCTGCTGCGTAATGAGAACAATGCAAAGGCTGCCAAATTAAGAAATAGCCTTTCTACAATGAAAATAATTTCCTCCTCCTGCTTGCTCTCCACTGGCAATTGAAGATCTTGCTTTCCCCACCACCTCCTCCTTTTCCCTGCAGCATCCCTACTACATTGCACCACCTATTCTTTTTAAGTTTTAATTTTTCCTTCTTGTATTTGGAGAAGGAAACTTCCCACATAAGAAAGGGAAAATGCTACAATTCTGTACAATATAAAATTTACTGTGTTCACACAGCACTCTTCTCCCACACATCCCCATACAAGCATTAAATCAGGCTCAAATGGCAGTCGGCTGTCGTAATTCGTGTCATTCCACACGAGAAAACTGAAGACAGTCTTCTGCTCTGCCAAACAGCCTTATATTCTCACAATCCAGGGTCCCTCACTGCTTTGAGAGTAAGATGGGAAAGGGTGAGGCTGGTGAGCTCTGTGCCCTACCACATGCATTAGGGATGACTTTACTGTTCATTTATAGCACATGAGATCACTTAGCCTGGGCTGTGGTGTTTCCCGTCCTGCTGGAAAATATTCACCATCATCTGATTTGATTTAAGCAAACAGAATTTTGTTTCATTAAATATATTTCTCTGAAAGCAAGTGTGAAACCTGCTCCAGTTTACTTTTTCAAAGCAGGAACTGTTCCTGCTCAAACCGGTAAGCTGGAGCTGAACCTGAAGCATGTGATTCCATGAAGCTGAGACTAACATGACGCCTGCTGTAAAGAAGGCTCACATCCCCTTTGATTCTGCATCACTATACTCTTTCTGAGTGCTTTTTCATCATCTACTTATGGCAAGAAGAATATCAATTACTAGCAAGACGATTCTTAAAAAGCAAAACCTAATCGCCTTCTGAATAAACTCAGGCTGCTCCAACGCAGATGGCAGAAGACCGATGCGAAAGAGGCGCCCTCTGTTGAGGAGGCTGATTTTGTATCTCGGGTCTCACCCACTCCTCCTTCCCCCTCCCAGTCACAAGCAAAACAAAGGGCACAGGGTGACTAAGGCTAGTTAAGACTTCTGTTGTTGATTTTAAGCAAATCTGAAAACATTTTCCTTCTACTTGCATGTAAAAAAGCATTAGAGGTATGTCACCTAGGCAACAAAACTATTCACTGGAATTGGCCTTAAGTATTTGGAGCGAGTGTTTCCTTCCTATCCAGGGAGTCACATTGAATTTACAGAAGAACATTGGTTCCTCTGAGAATAACAGTATATAATTCTGAAGGTGTCAGCGCAGAGGTCATCGTTGCTGGAGAAAAGCTCTTTGTTACATGAGTTAAAGATGGCTTTCATATCATCTGCGCAATCCCTAATAAACTTGCAAGAAAATCCACCTTTTCAGCTGTTCCACTGGTGTCTGCTTTATTTTTGGACAGTCAAAATTACTTTCATCTTTTTAACACTGGGGGCTACACGTGTTTTGGAATTCTGCTGCAAGTAAATACATCCCTCATGTTGCTGCATCCGAAGAGGGGACCGGATCCTTCCCATCTATTCTGTTCCAGGATAATTGCTTCCAGGTTCCGAACACCAGTGAAACCAAGATGATCTGTGTTTGCTGTACGTGTTTACTGAATCAGGCCTCAGAGGTTTTTTTAACCATATCCCAACCAGGCTTTCCTACCTTTCCAAAGACAAGGTCTTCCATCCCATCACCAGCCAAGGGGAAGAGGTCAGACTCGCTCCCGGACTCTCTTTTAAGGACACCCTGTGATGAGGCACAGACACTACTCAGCCCATCCTCCAAGAAGTTCTCACACTCTGCAGAAGCAAAGCAGAAAGAGTTACGATCTGATGCTTTCTGTAGCATCCATACATCCAAGTAAATTCCAGGATTTAAAAACAGTAAACACAGCTTTATAAATCATGTTCACCTCCCAAAACCGTGTCAGCAAATGTCCAAATAATTTATTGAAGAGTCTGAAATCCATCAAAGTACATGGTGCAATCAGAAATTCTGCACTAAACAGCCACATACACTTGCAGCTTAAGGTGCTGATAACTATGCTATATATCAGGTGCCCCACACTGAGCATAGCAGGTTGTTATGCCCAGTGATTGCAGCAACTGTAAAATTAGATTCCTATTCAACAAATGTAGAAATGTAACTTAACAATAATTGCTTTCTTTCTCAATTAAAGAAACAATTTCCTCTAAATGCCAAGGTGGTTTTAATGAATATTGGGATGATTATTTCATTCCTTCCTCTATAATTCTCACTGAAAAAGCACTAGTATGATTTCTATGGCAAGCTTTACTTTTTTAAAAATTCTCAGCTTTCATAACTCCTGACACTGAAATATAAGCATATTGCATCTCTTTTTTTCTGAAATGCTTCCAGCTGTTTGTATTGAGGTGATCAGCAGCACAGAAACAGACTACAGTCACTGAGAAAGCCCTTCCTTTGCAAAAACCCTAACAGACATGTATCTGCATTAAAAAATGCCTGGGTATCATTTAATCTGTTCAGCCTTCAGGCAAACGTATTAATGACAATTTTGGCAATAACTGAATGTTCTTTTCTCCCAGCTTGAAATATTTTCTATTTATTAGTATATTTAAAAAAAAGAAAGGTGTTCTTTTGCAACCAAAACACGCTGAGCTCCCTGGAGAGGAGCCAGGGCAATAAAATCAGTTCACTCTTAAATTACACCTGACTAACTCCATCCTTGGCGATACCAAGCTTACACATCAAGGCAACGAGGACAGGTTTGGGTAGCTTGAAGCCACCTTTTCCCCTTCCCCATCCTTAACCTGTGCCCAACAGCAGCTATCAAACACTGCGGCCACAGCCCAGTCGATGGGAGTGACTCCACTGCTGGAGAAAATAATGTTACTTTATTGATGGCAGCGGGGCTGTCCCCACTTAGTGCAGGGGGAAGCCGAAGCTGATCGGAAACCCCATTATCCCGTAGAGGAGTTTCCACATCGTGGAGAATTGGAAAAGCATTTATTGGAGATGGTGCTCCCCGGTCCTGTTCCCCTTTCGGTAAACCTGGAAAATCTGATCTGCTTTTCCATCACCGAGAGGGAGGAGGAAGGGGGAAGAGAAGAAGAGAGGGGAGAAAAAAAAGAAAAAAGAAGGGAAAAGCAAAGAAGAGACAGAGAGGCTGTAAGGGAGCGGGCCAGGGTGCCGGCCATCCAGCTGGCAGCCGGCAGAGCATGTCCACAGCCCAGACTGAAAAACAAAGGGGCTTGAGCCACGTTCCAGTGGAAAATCAGCGGGGACGGTCCAGATGCGCCAAGGGACAGATACCTCGCCCTGATGATAAATCACAAGAGGCAGTGAAGCCTCCTCTGCACGAGCCTCCGAGGGACCGAGGAGATGAAGTGGCGGGGAAGGACAATGAGGAGCAGAGTGGTGGGGGGGCCCCCCACACCTCAGCTCATCTGTGCTGAGAAACTAATTCCCAAACCCTCTCTGTCATTTGGGGGTGTCCTCCCCCTCCGTTTTTCTCCGTTAGCTCATTGGGTTTGTTTGCTTTGCTGTAAACTGCACAGGCATTGCACAATGCCGAGCTCCATCTCCCACACCCGTGACCTGGCGAGCCCCGGTGACAGCACTGCCATGACACAGCGACGGTGACTCCCGCCACACACCCACCCCCGCTCTCTGTACATGCTGGGTTTACGGCGCAACGGTGGTCTGTGGAGGTGCAGGTGAAAATACAATGAAGATGGTAACACACTTTTGTACAAAACATAGAGGCAAAAAAAAAAATAAAATAAAATTACATAGTAAAAAGCCCCAGGAAGAAAATTTCCAAGCAACTGTTACGTACATTTTCCAAACCCTCGTGTCCTCCAAGGCAGAGCTGAGCCCTCCAATTCCATGCTGATAGCTACGTATCTGCTACGCTCCTCCAGGCATTTCATTTCAAAAGCATTGACAGAAAATGAGAAGCTACAATTTCTGGAGTTAC